AAAAACAAATATACGCGTTTTAAATCCGAAAAATAGTTTCATCACACTCACCGAAATATATTCTGTAGAAAATCGACAGACAGACAACTTTGCGCCAGTGGGTTATACTATGAAGTTTAGATTCGATCTTATCATCGCCAATAAGTCTCCTAGCTCTGCGTTCAGTCGAATCAAGAGCCTCAAATTGGCACTAGTTTTTACCTACCAACCATCAAACATAAAGCAACAAGTTAGCTCTGCTTTCAACCATCACTTTCTAGTCGTTGTTTTCATATCTTCAATATTGACATTCTATTTCGACAAACATCGCAAAATGGCATCCGTCACCGCAACCGGCCGTTGTCACCACGACTAACCGTTATTGACTGTCTAATGTGCGAGATGCCTAATACAGTAGTAGGTTTATAACGTCTTCACTGTTCGTGCGAAACAATAAAACCGTTTACTACATTTCTTCAACACGAGGATGATTTCTGAGAAACGATGCATTGTCATTTGAAACTATTGAAAAAAACTTTGTTATTTGTTTTTGTTTCTATAATAGAAGGACATAATACAATCTTAATTCATTGATAGCGTTACGAAAGCACAAAAACTTCGCAGTTTTTTAAACCTATATGTCAGCTACTTAAGGGGTTATTGTGAAAATTAAAAGAAATTTGTTTCAATACCTTGTTAATCATAAATTTTAATTTATAGATGAATTTTGTAATCGTAATTCAATATTTTTACTAACTATAATCAAAATATTTATTGACATTTTAAATTTATAAATTTTAAATTTTTGTTTGTACATCATGTAATGAATAATATATAACAAATAACTAAGAACTTTACCTATTTAGTTCGTATGCCTTTTTAGTAGTAGTAGACTTCCTTGTGAAAAAGTTCATCCAGGCCTGCCACCTTACCTATTTTTGCCGCCAAGCGGTAATGTGAGCATTACTGCGTTTCGGTTTAGAAAGGTAAGGGTGCTGGTGAAATTACAAGCACATGGGACTTGTCAACTTATAACTTAGAGTGGCGGGAGCACTGCAACTGCTATGCACAGGCGTGTCGCTCACCACCAAGCGCACGATTTGTTCGTCCCGTCTCTCGGTACTTTAAAAAAAATGCCTGAGGCACAGCAAAGAGAGCCACTATACATAGCTTGTACGGTAATTTATGTTGACGAATAAATAGATAAAGATTTATTAAATCAATTGAGCTCTATTGCTATTTCGAAAATGCAAATGTATCGATATAAACGCGCGATTGCATCGATGCAATTGCCTATAAATCCCAAGTGTAGCGATGCAGTCGCGCGCTTGCATCGCGTTGCTTATAATCGCGCGCGTATGTAAAGGTAGATTATTAGCGACTGCATCGCTAGTGCATCGCGTTTGCATCGCTGCAGAAAGTAGACGTGTGTGGTTACACACCCTTAGTGCTGAAATGGGTTTCTTTAAATGTCAAATTTCGTACCCTCAAACATCAGTTAATTAATAAACGTAGGTATCAATTTTTGGATAGTGTTGAAAATAGCGTACGAAAAACTATCATATCAATGTTCATACCAAATAACATTTTGTTATATTTAGCAGTAGCCAAAAAATTACATATGTGTGAGTGCATAACGAAAGTTCTTTTTATCTATATTGATAATTATTAATACTAAGAAAAAAATCCTTCGAAATCTTTTTTCTTAGTGTTCGATCTTTGTATTAGTAATGATAAGAGACTAGTGGAGTAATTTCACAAAAATAATTGAATATCATGATAGTCAAACTACGAGACATTCAATAAACTTCATATGACATGTATATTGACAGCTTCCGAAGAGTTACACTGCCGAAAAACAATCGAAAAATAAATCTAAAACTACTTGGAGTATAATAAATAAAGAGTCAGACAGGATTAAACAACATGATAGAGATATTCAAATTCAAATTCAAATTCAAAATAATCTTTATTTTATAGGTAAGCATTATTACACTTGAAATCGTCACAATGGTTAAACTCTACCGCTCATTCGTAAGGCAGATTCCCCTGAGAAGAATGAGCAAGAAACTCTAGGGGTTGCTCTTTGTAAATAACTTACAATATTTTTTTATTTGAAACATCAGACTGAGACTACCTCCATGAGCTAAACGGGTTACTACCACGGATTTTTGTCATCCAAGTACGCAGAAGTTGTATAATAACCTTTAGTATAAAGTTTTTGTTTCACTATAGTTTTAAACCTCGTGAAAGGCAAATTTTGTATATCAACCGGAATCTTGTTATAGAAGCGTATACATTGCCCCTTAAATGATTGTTTGACTTTGTGAAGACGACTATCAAGAAAAGCTAGTTTATTTTTATTCCTCGTATTAATGTTATGTCTGTCACTATATAGTTCTAGAATTAGACGGCAAACTTATTAAATGAAAAGGTGAGGTAGCCCAAGCTTTTGAATCATTCTTTTCGGGAATCGCCGTAACAAACACTACAAAATCATTAAATTCCTCACCATCTCTTGCTGTTGATCGCCTAAAGAAAAATGTTAAAGTTTGTGGCAGTGCATGTAATTTCAATTTCATCATGTTAATTCAAAATACATCATTAAAGCTTTTAAAATGAAGATCTCTGGGGCATATCGACTATAGTTAGGTACAGACTCGGTAATTTATCTAATTTCCCCACATTTTGCTGATGCATTCAATAGGTGTGTTGACGAAGGTATTTTTCCCGATTTGAAGAAATACAGTAAGGTTATTCCTTTATTCAAAAGCGATAGGAAAGTTGATTCTAGTAACTATAGGCCCATTTCAATTCTACCAGCTTTTAAGTAAAATTTTCGAAAAAGTTATGTTGACACAACTACTGTCGTATTTCGGTAGAAATCATATTTTTCATAGTGAACAATATAGGTTTACTAGAAGGTCCCGGAACGCTATTGGGGTTTTCTGTGACCTCTCAAACGCATTTGATTGCGTGGTTCATATTACACTTATTAGGAAGCTGGAATTATACGGTAAGTGGCAACTCATTGGAACTTGTCTCGTCATATCTTAACGGTAGAATTCAGAAAGTAGAAATAAATGGAGTGACTTCTTTGGGTTCTCCGGTAAAAATGGGTATTCCGCAGTGCTCTATACTTGAACCTTTCTTATTTCTCATTTATACATCCTTGATTTTTAAAACAGACCGACATGACGTTAACTATGACAATATTAATGATACCCTTTCAAAAATAGTTTATTGGTTTAATATTAACAATTTATTGCTCAATGCCAAGAAGACAAAGTGTGTTAAATTTGAATTACATAATGCAAAATCGACTAATCACAGAAATAAATGGAGAAAAGTTAGACCTTGCTAATAAAGCTGTCTTTTTGGGAGTGACCTTAGACAGTAAACTCCAATGGTATCCACATATATCTTCCTTAGCCAGCAGATTAAGCTCTGCTGCATACGCAGTCCGTAGAATACGTGAACTTACCGATGTTGCTACTGCTAGACTAGTTTACTTTAGTTACTTCCATATTATAATGTCCTACGGGATTCTCATGTGGGGTAAAGCGGCAGATATACAAACCATATTTGTGTTGCAAAAACGAGCGATTCGTTCTGTGTACCGTTTAGGTTCTCAGATTTCTCTCAGAGAAAAGTTTAGGGAGACTGGTATCATGACTGTGGCATCACAGTACATTTGCTCAAATACTTTGCATGCCCGTAAAAATATAGAAAGAAGATATCCATAATATTAGCCTTAGAACTAAGTCCAAACTCATGATACCACGTTTTCGTTTAACTAAGGTAAACGATTCTTTTATGGGAACTGTGTACGTTTTTACAATAAGATTCCGTAGCATATATTAACTTTACCATTTTTTATAAAACTTACATTAAAAGTATTTTAATTGAAAAGTGATATTACAAAATTGTAGACTACGTGTTAGATAAAGATGTATGGAAAGACAGCGTGAAAGCTTAAAAAATGACGTTTTCAAGTGTACAAATTTTACCAATGGAACCATTGACTTACAATTATATGGACGTCGGGTCCGCGCTAAAAAGTGTCCGCACTTGTAAGGCGCTAAAATCGTATACAGAGCGCCACACACCGCTTTAGTCTTCATTTGTTCTACTGACAGCGCGATACTGCGATGACATTACAATTTAAATTTCGAATAGGTTGACTTGGGACATTTTTTTCGTGGTTTTTGTATTAGACCCGTCGTCCATTTATTTGTAAGTCAATGAATGGAACATTGGAATATACTTATTACTTTGACTTTGACACTAGTTCGGACTTTGTCAGTTTATTATTAAGAATGCAATTGGAATTTGGCTACTTCATTTGAAATATTTTTTTTATTTTACTTACAAAATTATCTCACAAGAATGAAACCATAACCTTGAATATTGTATTATCTCTGGGCTCCTAATTAATAGAAAACAATGAATCTTCTCACAATTCAGCCTACAAGTAACATTGACACAATTTTCGGAGTTCCCAAAGACTTGAAACCAAGACTTGCACAATGCAGAATTTTAAACCTAAATTACTTTCATAGATTGCACCTATGTTAGCGATTTCAAATACATCGCAAGACAGCAAAACGATTACATTTTAATAGCTAAATGGTGGCAAAAAACAATATATAGCGTAAGTTCAAAATCTGAACGTCGCGGTGCTTGTGCAAGTAGTAACAAAAGAAATGTGGGACCACCTTAAAAATTACGCAAAAGTAGGAAGTCACCTGACTCGCATTCACCAGGAATTAGAACGATTTTCTCAGCACTGAATCTCCATCGATTATATTATATGTTTCGTAAATACGACAACAAACTTACACTTTCAAGAATGACTAAGTAATTCTGTAACTTTCTCTGCAAGTGTCGATAATGGCACAACCTATGGCACGGGCTCCGTACTAGAGCTTCTTCGGATTTTTAATTTCATTTGTTGTGACGTCAAGGCGATTGTACCGCTTCGCCGGTAGAGTTGGTCATTTGCGCTCTAACATGAGTAGAACGCAGCCGCTCACCGCGACTATAGTCAGTTAACCGCGCAAGTCCATGTTCAAACGCCGAACGTTGCGCGAGAGTAAACAACGATTTTTTTAATACACCGTCTAACGTATACGTTGGAGTTACGTTATTGTTATCGGCATTTTGATAAGGCTATTTTTGTTGGACCTGGCTTGTGAGAGTTTGTGCAGAAAAATGGATAAGAAATATCATTAACAGTAAGGTAAGTTAAGACAGTTCATTCTAATAAAACGTTTTGTTTTTGTATTTCTCGAACGGTCATTACGTGAAAGCGTGCCGTCAGTTTTTTACTTTACGTTTTGTTTGAACAGCAATTTATATTTTAGCTTATTTACGTCGTCATTTCATGAAAAACAAATCACGTTTTGTAATGTATACTAATCGTATAATTCGTATAATAAGTCAAAAATGCTTATAATATATGAAAGCCATAAAAATAATACGAACTATATGAAACAAATTATGTATATAACGGAATTTTATAACTCTCCTATAAAAGTTATCGGTTAATTTCGTTCGTAGAATCTTTAGACTTAGCTCCAAAAAGTTGTAATTTTGTTGATGTAACCTTATTATATCAAAGGTGCGAAATTATCAACGTGTTGCTATAAAGGACTCGTCTCTTTGGTTGCGTTAAAAAAAATGTAAAAAAATCTTATGTAACTGAAATTCTATGGTTATACACGGTCACAACGTTTTGCTTGTATATATATATATACAAGCAAAATGCTGGTATATATATATATACCAGCATAGTAGAATAGTTGCATTTGAATTGTTGAGGATGAGGCGGCTTCAGTAATTTGGAACCCTACTAACCTTACCTACTAACAAATTGTTCAATTTCGTTTTAAATTGTCCACAATTTAATTCTTTTTCAATATCCGGTAATTTATTAAATAATTTGGATGTTAACACAAACATCGTCATACTGTAAAATTCCAAATTTGGGCGTTGTTAGGACCGTAATGGGTTTACTACTAATACCCGTACCGTGAGTGGTCAGTTTCAGGAAAAAATCCAGAAGACGTGAGATTCTTGTATTAGGAAATTTAAGGGTACTACCTATTTTTATACCCTACGAAAATCCTGGCGTCTTGGGTTTAATTCTTTAGAGACTAATTATGGTCCACTGACTATTGCTGATAGCATCTTGCGAGGATATTCCGATTGCCCAGATTTGGTGGCGCAATTGATGCGCCTGTTCGTCCCCCCGCTAAATAAATTTAATCTATCGTCTGGCAGCGCCGGCGGTCCGCACTGTGTCTCACAGTAAAGCACCGCTTGTTCGCGCTCTGCACTTGTTGGCTTCTCGTATTTGCACCAGGGGGTCTACTCCCATTCTCTCTCTCTCGACCACTTTAAAATTGACATTACCTTTTGCTTTGGCCGAGTATTACTTATTAACATTACCGCTTGGCGGCAGAAATAGGTAAGGTGGCAGTACTTCCCTGGACGAACTCTTCTACAAGGACCTACTGCTACTAAACAAAAAGTGTAAAATAATTGGAAAACGTAAAACAATTATATAATTTCACAATAAAAGCTTGTCAAAATCCGTAACCACGATTTGAATTGAAACCGGACATTTATTACCGGACAATTATTAAAATCAATATCAGGTACAGTCAAAGAAGGTGATTAGAATGTTTTTTTATTTTTTTATTAAATTTTAACACGCAAATCGGTGAAAACTATACGCGAATTTTAGGTTAGCTAAATTTTTAATTGTTTTTCGATTTAGTGCTTCGTGACTGTAAAAATTAAATAATTATGCACGGACAAAGTGTAATTAAAAATTATTCGGAGAAAAAGGACGTGGTACAGTCATTATTTTTTACAAAGGTACAGACTTTATACTTTAATCTTTTGACCGCCACTGACAAAAATTAGTTTCATTCCCTAGACGCCAAGCCTATGGTGAATTGCCATGTTATGAATTTCCACTTTATATTAATTCAATTGTCCTAAGTCAAAGAAGAACTTAACTGAACATAAACTGCAACCATAAATCCATACTTAACTAGGATTCACAAATAACACAAGGAATAACTTTTTTTTAAATTAGATTAATTAATCTCGATTGAAAATTAAAGAGTTTCATTGACACTTTAAGGCGTCATTAGCGTATCATCCTCGTTAATGTTGAAAGGGTTATAGTAAATGTACTCGTATTTGTACTAAAATGTAATATACTAGTATGGACACTACTAATACGAACGCTCCGACAGAGTTTCCTTCAAACGTCTCAATTCTCCAGGATATCGGCATCAAACAGCGTTTGTCTACTGTGGTGCAAACTTGCATCCTGAATTTCTACACTTTCTCTCTGAAGTAGGTACACTAAGATACGCGAGATGTGCGCTCGCGTCCGCGCTTGGTGTGTTGTCGTCGACCTCTCGACCCGACCCGCGCGCGATCTGCACCCGGTCTTTTATTTTATTTATTTATTTATTTATTTATTCAGAAATGGATAGCCAACACAATACATACAAAGAGTATAGCTAATAATTTACAATCAAAATATAAAATCATTATATATATCGCACTTACAGGCTACCACAGCATACTAGTAAAATACAAGCGGTTTATGTTATAGAGTAAGATTTACATTTTAAAGAGTTTATTACAGGATTACAAAGCAAATAGCAAGTTACAGATTAATAAAATTACTTATTTTAATTGAAATTTTCAATTTTAATCCCTTTAATATTTTATTTTAGTTTTAAGAAGACATGAATTTTTTAATTTTAGTTTTGAAGCAGAGCAGTGAGTCTTTAAAAATATCCAAATCACACTGTCTATGAAATTGATTGTAAGTTTTAACCATTCTATTTATAGGACCAGATATACCAAGATTAGTCCTAGAAACACGAGATCTGAAAGGTATATAATTTCTTGTTCTTGCATTTGGTCTTGGGATTGTAAACCCAACCCTACTCAGTAGTTCTGGAGAGTCTATTGAATTATTCACAATTTTATGGAAAAAACAAAGATCAAGCATAGTTCTACGATTCGACAGAGACAGCGTCCTGTATCTTTTCAAGTGCTTAGCGTAAGAGTCACAAGTATCCAGAGCTCCATCACAATAACAAACATGCCGAAGAAATTTACTTTGCACACGTTCCAAACGATTAGAATGTATTTGGTAATGGGGGTTCCACACAACAGAACAATACTCTAGAGTGCTACGCGATAAAGAGTTAAATAAAATCATCCTGCTAGCAGCGCTCTTAAAACTTTTAGTCGTCCGTCTTATAAGCGCTGAAATTCTAAAGGCGCGTTTTATAATATTGTCAACATGTGGAATGAAGCTCAGTCTACCATCCACTGTAACCCCCAGGTCTCGCACCGCGGTCACTTTCTGCAAGTAAGTACCGTCGATTTGATAATTATATACTAGCGGATGCGTTTTTCTTGAAAAAGAGATTTGGTAGCATTTGTTCTGATTAAGTAAGAGTTTATTAACTTTGCACCATTCAGTCAATCTAGATAAATCATCCTGAATTTTATCCGCATCTTCAATTGAAGTTATTTGTTTGTATAGTTTTAAATCATCTGCATAGAGCTGAAACTTGCTATGGTAGAAACATTGGAAAATATCATTTATATATATATTAAACAAAATAGGACCGAGATGCGAGCCCTGGGGCACACCAGTACCAGCCGTAAAAGCCACCGACTCATAGCCTCCCATTACCACCTTCAGAATTCTACCATTCAGATAGGATCCCAACCAATCAAGAAAGCTTCCCTGAAAACCATATGCTTTCAACTTAGTAATTAATATGGTGTGGTCAACCATGTCAAAGGCTTTGGAAAAATCAGTATAAATTGCATCGATCTGTCTATTTTGATCTACTTTTTCAATTAATTCATCAATATATAGAGCTAAATTAGACATGGTTGACCTCGCTGGAAGGAAACCATGCTGACAGGGATTGAGTAACGGTTTCATATGCCAGTTAATAATAGGACAAACTAGACTTTCAAAAATTTTGGGAAAAGCTGACAATATACAAATAGGTCTATATCTAGTAATGTCGTTTCTTTCCCCGTCCTTGAAAACCGGTACAACACGGGATTCCTTCCACATGGCAGGGAAAATGCCAATTTCAAGGGATTTATTGAAAATACGAGTCAATGGCCCAGCCAGAGCTGACGCGCATTCTTTTATAAAATGTGGGTGTACGTTATCCGGTCCAGCACCTTTACTGGTATCAAGATTTTTCAACTTTAGACTAACGTCGTTTTCACTAACAGTCAAAACATTCATTACCGTCTGCGCTTGCACAATATTTGCTGTGTTCGGTATATCCCGAGTTACTCCATTGCCATAAATGCCGGAGAAATGTCTTGCAAAACTGTCACAAATATTCTTTCCATCCGTACATACCACCCCATTTAGAACCATTGTTGAAGGATAGTCGGGTCTGTCACCTCTAATTTTTTTGTTATAGCTCCAGAAGAACTTTGGGTTGCTTCTAATGCTATTTTCAATTAATGAAATATATTTAGTGTGGCATGCTTGGATTAAAAATTCACATTCATCGCGAAGCATTTCAAATTTAACATGATCTAGTGGATTGCCGTATTTTCTAAAACGTGTACGTAGTTTATTTTTCTCATTCAGCTTTCTTATTAGTTTTCGATTGTACCAGCAAGGAAATGACTTTGATTTAGGTCGTGTTGTAGGAATTATGTTATGAATAATTGTATGTAATTCATTATAAAATTTGACTACCATTTCATCAACGCCATCGCAATCCGCAAACATTTCATCCCAGCCAATACTTTCAAGCGCCACATTTACCTGATCATAATCTGCCCCAAAATAGTTTGGTTTTGGAGTAATAAGCGGTAATAAATAGTTATCGTGTCTGATATCTATCACAATTTCAAGGGGAGGATGGTATTTAATTGTAGGAGCCAAGGGATAATAGCTTTTTGTTACATTACAGGCTACATGAACGTTAGTAAAAACCAAATCAAGCAATTTACCAAAATCATTGCGAATACCATTTACTTGGGACAGACCACACTCAGCCATAAAATCAATAACACATGTGCGAAGTTTTCCATTGTAAGCAATCGGGATTGTATAGTCAGTCGGATTGTTGTTGCTCCAATCCACTGAAGCCAAATTAAAGTCTCCAAGGATTAAGACCTCTGAACAGCCCAACAGCACATTGCTAGCTCTTTCGGTGAAGCTCTGAAGTAGGTCAAATTTCAAAGGAGATGGTAAATAGACACCACAGACAGTTACGGAACGGCATTCATGCTTGTCACACAAAATAACTTTCACCCATAAATCCTCACAGTTACTTTCGGGCATTGGGATTCTATAAGAACTATGTCTTTTGTGTACCGCAATTAGGACGCCACCGCCGCCTGCTTTATTGTGAATCAATTTCAAGTTACGATCTTGTCTAAATACCACATATCTATCATCAATAAATTCTCCATCCAATACATTGTCCTGAACCCAAGTTTCTGTAAAAACAACTATATCAAAATCCGAATTAAGTATTTTCAAATAAATATGTCCTGTCTTAGTATTTATACCTTGTACATTTTGATAATAACATTTAAGTTTTAAGTTTGCCATCAATAATTTACTTAAATTAAAATATCTTCCAAAAATGAAAACACATGCAAAAATATTATCCTTTACTTTTTTTATCAGTAACTATTTCCAACTCCTTGAGAGTGTTAAGGTCGTTTAGGTCCCTTATTACTACATATTCGGAACTGTCAGTTGCTCGTACCAAAATGCGACCATTTCTGACGAGAATATATTTGTAGCCGAGTTTTTTCGCTTTGAGTCTAGTCGCGGCATGAAGGTTTTTTTGCTCTAGGGTGAGATGCTCGACTACATAGATTGGATAGGCATCACCTGAGATACCTGCCTGTTTAGTGCTCAGTTTATCACTTTTCTGCTTCTTCCTATTAAATTTCAATACCGCTGCTAAAAAAGTATCTCTCACTCTAGGACTTGCGAATTGTATTACAACCGAGCGCGGTCTTGAATTTGTAGCGTTGATTTTTGACACTCTGGTGCAGTGATGTATGTGTTCTTCTGTAATGTTACTGCCTGTAGTCTTGCTGATTTGAAGAACCATTTTAATAAGATTCTCCGACTTACGCTCAGGAATACATTGTATTTCGATGTTAGATTTCCTGGAGTGCTGTTCAAGAGCTAACAATTTAACATTCAGATTAGTGATCGTGCTGTTCAATGCTTCATTTTCTTTAAGTGCCTTCTTTAGGTGAACTTGAGATTGAGTGAATTCCTTCTTAGTATCTTCGAATTCTTTGTTGATAAATGCTTGTGATTCTTTAAGCGATTCTATCTCTTTGGTAAGCTCTTTAGTCTTCTCAGCTATCAAGTGAACTATTCTCTTTTCGAAACTGGTTTGCAATTCGGCTAATTCTGATCTTATAATTGCCCGTATTACGTCCGCAGTGAGAGGTTGGTTGTTGGTTTGATCAGAAATGGTAACATCTTGGACACCCTTCAGAGGGGTCTCACAGCTTTTTCTTGGCTGTTTCGCTACACACGCTGGGCATAGCCAGTCTTCTGGAACTATTCCTGTCTTACGACACTTTTTGCAGTAGACATCCGGGCATTTCGTGCACCGAGCAAAGTCATCAGCAGCAGCAAATCGCCCACACCCACTACACTTTTTCATACTTGCGACACTAATAGTTTGAGACGTGATTATGTAAAACGCCTTTTGTAGCCAGTTTTAAAGATTAATATATAGTTTTGTTGTAGAAGGCTACGCTCGATCCGGTTCACGTCACTATGCACCATGCGTTATCTTGCTCTAAACCCGCTAGGGGAGCACCTTACGGTCCTATTCCGTAAGTATGACAAGGAGGCACCGATAACCACACCAGACAACCGTAGACACTTTAAAATACCAATCGTGCGAGACACCGATCGCCCGGTTAAAGGTCCATATACCGTAGGTCTTGTTGGTTGGTTGGTCAAAAATAAGGATGACCAGCGGACTTTGACACGGTAACTATACAGAAACGCCGTAAAGCAAAGGTCTAATAACTGGTTAACTTTTAATAATTGTCGCGGAAACGTCTATTCACTGGTGCGTCAGCCACCGAACTAGGTCTATGTGTGTTTCACGCTTTAGTAAGTCTACGTCGACCATTAATGAGACTCGACTGCAATTGCAACTAGATTTTAACAGAATTATCTTAATTACAATATAATCTCAATGGAATCTGAATGGAATTACAATTAAGGGGAAGACGGAATTAATCTATAGCCTCGCTCCTTATGTGAGAGGCATACGAACATAGCAAATGCAGGTACGTAACCTCTGCCCTGAGACAGGCGTACGCGTGATTGTGTAATAAATGTGGATATTTAAATAGGTAACCAAGTAAACGATTCTTTTATGGGGAACTTTATACCTTTTTACAATAAGATTCCGGGGCATTTAAGATTATAATCTCCTAAGTTTAAAACTTACAATAATTGTATTTTAATTGAAAAGTCATATTACAAAATTGAAGAGTATGTGTTAGATAAACATGTATGGAAACACAAGACGAGTCGAGATGCCACACAATTCTGATTTAAGGTGTATTCCATAGCATTTAAGTTTATTTGAAAAGAGCAATCCCTAGAGTTTCTCGCTCGTTATTCTTAGGGAGGTCAGCCCTGTGCATGAGCAGCAGCTTAAAAAATGACGTTCTCAAGAAAAAAAATTACCTACGGAATAAATGATTTTTTGACTTTGCCTTTGGTAATATCTAAATCATCAAGTTTGGCAATATTATTTCGAATCTAAATTTGTGTTAGGGCACTTTGCAGGTCCCATGGACATAGTTGACAGAAACGTTGGTTTGTTTGAAAAAAACACAGTTTGTTTTCTTTAAAAATTATCTAAGACAGCTGCGTTTCAATTTGAAAATATAAATAATAAAATAAATTTATCCTCCCTGCTGCATGGACCTCCAAATAACCAGTTTTAATGAATTTTCTACTCCGGGCCATGGATTTAAGTTGGCTTTATGTATTTCGGTGTATCAACATAAGTGAAAAAAGGGAAAAGACAATAAGTTTTGTTCTTGAAAGGAAAAGGATATTGTAACTCTAATATACATATATGAAATTATATTAGCGATTCAAATCTGAAGAAAAGTTTCACTTTCAATATTAACGTTAGTTTGTTACACGATAAACGGCGTTTGTTACGTACAATAATTTACGGTCATGTCATTATTTGATAACAAAAAACTAGTTAGTCACAGGTTTTTGTTAAAGTTAGTGTTGTTGTAAGATGTTTACACGTATATTGTTACAAAATAGTATTGTTATTAAGAATGAAAATGAGAGTATTAAAAATTGTTTACGACCTCAGTAGCCTAAGCGCATTTGCGCATTGCATCCGATTCGTATTCTATCCGTATAAAATTCGGACTCATTTCGGATGTCGCTTGTACACTAAGACCGATTCAAACCCGAGGAAATACAAATATCGCTTTTATACCTAGAGATAAAATGATACCTGTAACATTTCGGACTGTCATTTCTCGGATTCGGAAATGGGGGTCTACTCGCGATCTCCGTCCGAAACAATTACTACCAAATAAGCAATACTTGACTAAATGAAAAGACGCGTGATGCGAATGAAGCTTCATACTTGATACTTGTCTTTTAATTTTGTCGAATATTACTTATATTGGCTGTCATTGTTTCGGACGGATGTCGGACGGAGATCGAGAGTAGACGAGAGATATGAATCGGACGTAGTGCGCAAACGCTCTAACGGTTTGTACTATGGGCACTGGAGGAGAAGGTCCTGGGTTGATGCCCGGTAGGAGCAATTTAGAAACTGAAATTTTCTGAATTGTCTGAGTTTCCGGTCTGTGTGTTCTGGGAATCGTCCCGGAGTTAGTTCCGTTGCTGTGGTACTCAAAGTATAGGGAATTCCCTAGTTTGAGACCAGGCAATTGACGTGGTTGTCTAACATATTATAAAGATTTTTCTAAATGACAACAAAAGTTTTGAGAAGAGATTCTATACATCAATACCGAGATCTTTTACTATGAGATTTTTTACTTCGTCCCGTCACCTGAAGTTATAAAAAAAATCTGTAAACGCATGAAAATATAGATCTCTCGAGGTCACCTTGCAAGGTTTCTTTCAGTATTTGAATCCTTTTATTAATATGATGATCTATTTTCAGAGTCAATTTCGAAATTTTGGTAACTTAAAATTACCAAGCAAGCAAACAAATACACAAACAGAGACCGTGGTTTCGAATCATCTCTCGCACCTCTTTATCGGAACTTATATTCGAAATTCAATTTGAAATTTACCATGAACTTTTCAGTGAAGGAAAACATCGTAAAAACCTGCACGTCGGAAAACATGTGAAGTTCCCAACCCGCATTGGACCAGCGTGGCGGACTATGGCTTAAACCCTCGCTTGAGAGGAGACCTGTGCCCAGCAGTGGAACGTATAGATGGGTTGAGGGTGATATATAATGTTGTGGTGTATTAGTTCGAAGTTTTATTACGAATTCTCATCACAATTTTTATGACATATTTCGTTATTCCATTATTGTTTTTCTATAGTCGTTACTACAGTTTAACATTGTGCGGTCAATTTTATTAAAATTTATTTATAATTTTATTAGTACGACGACGAAAAACACAGATGATATTAAGTAAAAAGGAAAATACAAACAAAAGGTACTTTCTTCCTGCAGACCAAATGCAGGACACTGTTATTACAACAACGGGTTAAAAAATAAATAAAACAAAAAAGAAACACTATCAATAACATTACATTATTAATAAATAGATAAATACATATTTCATAAAATAATTCCTATAAATTGGATGGAATAGTAGATAAATAGTGCTACTTAACACTCATTTTTTATTACAAATTCTAAATTTAACTTTTTATGTTATATTTTGTTACGCTATTGTTGTTTTTCTATAGTCCTAAACATGCTTTTGTGCGTTGTGGAACTTGTTAAACAAACCATAGAAGGCTGGTCTTGCTTATTCATCGTTAGCACGCAATCTAAGTTTTTACAGTCCGCAGCATTATCACTTAAGAAGCAATCTTTTTATTTCGATACTCACGCATAAAATTTACGACACCTCCATCAAAAACATTTACAACATCTAAATGAGAAATCAATGCATTGAATGAAGCTTAGAAATTGAAGTTGACGAAATTTCTATGATATTTTTTGAAAGCTTGTTAAGGTACTTTTGTATGTTAGTTACACCAGGCATGTTGGATGTAGAAAGGGGTATTTTTTATTTCTATGCAATAGCAAATTATAATAAAGCGGTGCTATTTGATACTGCTCGCATCGTTCGACGGTTTTTTAAGGTACCAAATGAAGTTAAAATAGACATTATGACCACACGAAAAATCGGTTGTTCGACGTTAAGTAATTATAACTTTTTTATTAAAAAAACCGACCTCGTAAGTTCGTGGAATTACATATAATATGTATTTGCCAAGTTTTATTGCAATCGGTTACCGGAAAGTGCGCGAAACCGGATTCGTACCCTCTTTCCAACAAAAAAGAATTTGATGAATTTGAAAACGGAGTAATCGCGTAACATATACACAAATACAAAAAAAATGCATTGGAATTGAGAACCTCCTCATTTTTTTAAAGTCTGTAGAAAAAGTCAATGTAGACAGATGTCCACATTGACTTGTAATTGGTGCTGGCTAGCTTTACCTAAACATATTCATTGCAAATGTTTATAGCTGTTGTTGTTCCATTGTTGTTCCAAATAAAATAAAAATAAAACAGAAACGAAATGCTGAATGATTCTGAATTTGAATAATTTTTAAACACTGAACGAATGCTTCAATTCTATAATAACTGGCGCCGTGTGACAACCCGCGCTTTGCAACATGAGTGCACCGCGAGATTATGCGAATGTGTGCATCTGTCGCGCTAATACGTTTGTATCATAATAATTAAAAATAATATATAAAATAAAATGTTTCTTTATTTAGGTATACACCCGTTAATAAATTTAACATTACTTATTACATTACATAACAATGAAATTGAATTTTATTAACGGAAATTTGTTATTATTAATGAAGTAAATAATTAAGAATGTAATTAAATTTAATTCACATTACAAATAATAGTGTAATTACAATTAATTTATTTATATTTTAAAAATGGAGTGTTCGCTTACAAAGTTACACTTATCGCATACTGTCCTTTCTTGTTCTGTGGTTCTTACAATATTGACCGAATCGCTCACTCTCGTAAGAAAAGACCAATGTCGCTTTGTATTATGGCGAAATAATCATCTACTCTATTCACGGCGAATATACTAGACACACTACCTACACCGTCAGGTCTAACATTGTGGCTGTGGCTTAACACAAAATAAGCATACTATTATCCGACCAACAAGTCATGATTTTGCAGCACCTAAACCTATATACTTATATCTTGTATAACGTCCACTGTACCTTGTTTGTCTTTCACAAAAAGTCAGCAAATAATAACCGCATCTAAAACGTTTCCGCGTCTATTTTAAGTTCCGTTTTATTTGACATAAGCGGAAAGTAATAAACATCGCGGTATCTCACCGTGTAAAAGATAGCGGACTTTGAATTTATTACGGCCTAGATTATTTTATTATTGTTGTTTAGATTAG